CAACTAACAATTAGTTCTGTAATAATTTTATGATCGAAGTAGGTAGTATTTTAGAAAATAAAATATTAAATCCTTACAGATGTTGTAAATGTGAAAGTTTATTTGTTACCTCTTAGCGCCTTAACGGTAAAAACAATTGTTGCAAAATTTGGCATACACAATTCATTTGGTATGGAGAAGGACATAGGTTACTTTTCATCCCGGTCACGAAAACGAAATTGCGGGCGTAACTAATTGTTTTTAGTAATAGTTGTTAGTAATGAATTCATTATTTAAATAGAATAGAAATATGAAGAAGTGTTTCGGTTTGAAGCGTGGGATATGACGTGAATTTACAGGGTACAGAGGAATAACACCCGAGTCCTCAAAAATGGCAACGTATGAGGGGTGTCATGGGCGAAAGAATAATAATATAGATGGAGGCTGTCCTATATAAATCGCAGAGGATACAGGATTTTTAATTTAAATTACGCTGACAAAGCGGCTGATTTCATGTAGTAATTTATATTTTTAATGAAGTATTAGACCCCATGTCTGTTGTTAGCCGATATCTGTATGCTGTCAGTCGTCAGTCGTCGTGGTCGTGATCGTATTACTACAATTAACAATGACTGATAATATCTATTATTAATACGCATTATACAATGACAAATATTTGTTACATTTCTCATACAATATAGTTAGAATTGTTATTTGTGTTTTTGTAGTATGTTTCTTTTATCATCATAATGACGTCATTGAGTATGATTGTTTGTTTGTTTATATCTATTCTGGTAACAGCGAAAACAAAGAGATTATATTTTAATTATCTTTAAAAACCAAATTCTTAGTAATTTAACATTTTCTATACAAGGTTTTGTCTTGCATAGGTATGTTTGTAATAAACTAATTGCACACTCCAATTTTGCGTGGGTGTACTAATAAAGAAAATGGTTGGAGATGTTCTAATCTAAATTTTTCACTTTTCTGTAGAGTTTTAAAGACAAAATCTGTTCCCTTCAAAGAGATAAATTTTACTTAAAAAACGCTTCCTTTACAATTTACGTCTTTCTCTATAACAAAATAAATATATAAGCATACCTGTATATGATTTGTCAAGTTTTGTATGCAAAAACGGGGTTTGTTTATTCATTCTGAATAAGACGTGTGAGAGAATAGAATAAATACTATGTGATGAGGTTTAATATTTTTAATAATTTATGACAGATATGATCTTACTGGTTATTTGATAAGAATTATTTAAATTGTGCAACTATTAGTATGTGTGTAGTAGCTAACACTCGAAGAAAGATTGGCCACCACTAAAACCACCTAAAATTTCACAACCTTCCATATCAGCCATCAATCTCCGACTGCTATTTTGTTCATCCACGTTTTGCGATACCTGTTTCACCTCTAAACGTCGAACATTCAGGCAAATTATTATGCCTTGTTTAATTAAGAAGCGTAGTAATTAAATTATGCTTTCCTCTCTGGTATAAAAAAAAAGTATTTTGTATAAATATTAATTCGCTATGTCTAGTATCATGGGGGCATGGGCTTGGAGCCACTTAACACAGGATATTATATCAACCTATTTAAGAGCACAGTTCTTAAACTACAACTATTGTACTCATTTATAATTATAATATTAGTACTGTAAATTAATTTTAACTACAGTTGTTTTTTATGAAAATTTTATTTCAATCTACGAGTACTTGCCTTGATATTACATAAGCTACTTATTGGCAAATTCCCTAATGCGTTAATGAATTCTTTTGAAAATATCACCTCATGCGGTTTCTGTCAACACTACACATTTTTTTATTCCTATTTTCCGTGGCTATAAAGTATTTTATGTAGCTATAAAATATTTAAAGTATTTTACCACATAAAATACTTGGAAACCTAATTCACGCAATCAAAGCTGCACTATACAGCTAGTCAATAAAATACCGTCAAAGAACAGAGTATACGTGCAAAGTGGTACGTGGTAATGTGTATGAGCTCATTATAGCCGAGCAACGAGCCATGTCTTATTAGTCTCCCAGAGTGGTGGGTGATGACCCTCCAGCGCCGTGGTGCAAAGACGCCTGGTTGTTAGTTCCGCACTATTGCGGCATAACAGTCGCATTCCGGTTGCTTGCCTCCGCTGCACTGATTCCATATTGTATAATGTAACTGATGGTCATATTGTCTCCTCGAGCCTCCTGTTACTATACATATTTTATATACAACTGTACATCATAGTTATCATATTTGCTAATGTTATAAACTGGCTATTTCCTGCAGCTTTGTTCGTTAGCTAAAAACATTAGTCTATATAACATTATATATTACAGCCTTATGTCTTTATCAAATATTATTTAAATCCATTTAGTCTTAACCACCATTAAGAAACAAACATCCAAACATGTGTATAAACTTTCACATTTATATTATTTGTTAATATGTGGATAAATGTGAAAATTTGTAAAGAATATTAGTATATTAGAGGTTTGTGTATTTATTACCACTTACCATAACGGTTCAATCAACGATCATGAAATTTGGCTTACACGTAGTAATTATCATCCAGTAGAATATATGTAACTACTTTTTATAAAGCTAGTAGAACTTAAAGAGTAATATTGTTGTGTGCGTTTCCGTCTGTCTCTTATATGAATAAAATTATTAAATTATTTTCCGATACATTTATATTATTAAACTTTTAAACTGAGTGAGATTCTTACTCCTTTATTTCACAGAATTTTATTAAAATATGATAAATAATAAATAGTGCTAAATTTATACGTATGTATTTTCTGTATAGGTTATTTATACTTAATGTTTGGTTATTAAAATCAAGATGTGATTAAAAGAAAAACATGTTGTAATGGTTTGAAAATATGAATAATTGCGTCATTTCCGGGGGCTGCGCAGGCGCAGTATCACGCGTGGGAACCACATGACAGCGCAGCGTGGGCTCCCACAGCTCATTGTCTAATTGTCTATAGCCGACCCACGGCCTAACCTTTCGATCGACACAAGTAAGTAGTTCAACTTCTTGTGTCCAAATCAGTGTCATAGTGATGTCAAAAAATACTAAAATATAGGGAATTTATTTTCAACCGTCACCAAAACGGAGCAGGTTCTCAATTTCAATGTTTTATTTGTAACCGTGTCATAACTTGAAACTTTTGAGTGAAAGTTTTTCTTTATAAGTTAAAATCCCGCTTGACTTCTGCAAGTATAATGCATAAATGCACCCTGGTTGCCTGCTCTAAGTTAGCTGAACAGTATATTCTGTTATGTCCATATTACTGCTCATGTCTATAGGCGACGGTTAACACTTTCCATCAGGTAAGCCGTCAGCTTGTTTGCTATTCTAAGTTGCATAAAAAAATATTTATATTATAGGTTGTAGATCTAGAAGCCTATCATTCCATGCCTCATATATGAAAATTCACGTTGTTTTTAATTAGGAGTTCCATTTGTGATACCAATTTTAAACGGCATGCGATATCACTGATTCTTATTTCCCTTTTAACTAAGCAAAAGCCGTACAATCGACTGGAAAAATAGAAGATTCAAGAGAATGGTTGGGTGTTTGTTATGCGATATCTTAGTCAATCTTAGTATTCTTCTTAAGGGATCATTTTGCAATCAATAGAATTAGCTTTCATGGTGGCCTATACTTCTAAATTTCCTTCTACTGTGGTAGGTACTTTAGGGTCAAATTGGTGCATTAGTATAAATTTTTCAAGAACTAGCTTTTGCCTGCAACTGAGTTCGCGTGTCAGAAATATATCCACTGATCAGGATAAGAAATAGCCTATGTCCTTCTCCATCTCATATACCAAATTCTATAGAGATTGGTTAAGCCGTTAAGAGGTAATAAACGAGCTCTCTTTCACATTTATAATATTAGTAAGGAACAACCGCGAAGGTTTCCATGAAGAATTGCGTGAAGGTCGACCAGATAAGATATACTGCTTACAGTGCGGCCGCTAATCGCTGTTATTAAGAATCTTTTCTTCCAAGCAAAATGTTGTATGTACGATGACAGGGTCGAGAAAGGTCGTTTCCTATCAAAGTGGTTAATTTTTTTTTATACAACTTAGAATAGCCGCATTACATGAATCATTGTTCTATTAATTTTGCATACTAATTAGTATTATGCTCTGCGCGCCATGCCTGTACACTTGGTTAGATATATTAAATGAACTGTTCTGTACGTAAACATATTCGTAGCTCACGTGATTTGGTAAATAGTTTGTGAGAAAAACCAATGTCACAGAAAGAAGAGACAGATTTGTTTTCATAGGATTTTATATAAAAGGAAAAAATAACTTGTCACTTTTTTAAACAAGAAATCAGTATAGTATCAATTTAACTCGGAAACATCTGTTTACATTTTCTACAGTTCCCAGTCTGACATGTAATATAATATTTTCATATAATTATTGCAATATAATTATCGACAAACGGTATCGTTCGGCGTTTTATGACAATTAGAATTAATTGGTGTACTACCTACCGTTACACAACCATTATTTTAATCTCTGGAGCCAAGACACTATTGTTTGCGTCGGCGGCGCCACCAAGGTCGGGGTCATTGAACTTATTTACGTCTTTCAGCAGGCGCCGTTTGCCGCTACTAGTGGAAATAAACTATATTATTGTATGTGTAGCCCCCTTTATAATTATTTAAATATATGCTTCACGATGTCAGCGGCGATTTACTATATTTAGAAGCATTGGTTTGTTATATACAAATGCATTTATGTATAAACACATAATGAATCCGATACTGAAACGTGATTTTTTCCATCTGGCATGACAGTTTAATGATATATTACCTATGTATATCAATTTACTCAATACCTTGATAATGATCGCTAGAAACATTTGTGACACGTTCTTTTATGTAGTATTAAAATGTACATTATAGGTATAGGCATCAGAATAAAAAGAAATTAGGATTAAAATGGAAAAATATTATATTTTTATGATATGACTGTGAAATAAAATTAGCGCAGTGTTCAGCAATTTTATATTATTACAAACAATGACAAAGATTGTACAAGCAAATCCGACCGCTCATGGAGTATTACTCTGGGGGCTGGAGCGCCTGGATACTATAGCTTTTGGTCCTCTTGACTCTGTTAAAAAACAGGTTATATGAACGTCGCAGTCTTCTACGACGGGCTTATGTTTCTTTGCCATCTTCGTGGTATAAAAAAATTTCGGTTTGGATTTTTGTAACAATATTTTTTACAATATTTTATTAAAATTAATATTTTTTTTTTCAAAAATTGGTCAAAATTTTCATATACTTACATTAGAAATACATAATTTATGTATTTTTATTTTCAATGTTACCCCTTATGTCTTGTAAATTATAGTAACAAGTTGACTATTGTTTGTTTCTATAAATTTAATGATAAGATAACCAAGTTTTATTAAAATTATTACAGAAACACTTTAAATGAAATCATAATACATTGAACTTTTAATCAATTAATCGATTTTTAGTCGTACTATGTACTATTGGACAGCTGACTGTCTTCTATTGAAACAGATCATAGATGCAAATATATCTAGTAAATTGTTTATTGCAGTGACCGAATTTTATAAATTTTACACATAACTGACGTCCAAGTAATACCCTAATGCGTTATAGATTTGGATTTATCAATAGTGTTTACTCACATCAATTAAATGATACTTTATTTATTATTTACCAGAAACAGTTTTGTGAAAACAGTATTACAATCACACTTCCATAATCAAATAATAAGGAAGTCGATAGCAGATCAAACGGAAAATAATATTAGGGATAGTGTATTTATTATACTTATTAGTATCACGTAATATGGCACTGCGCGCCATCAACAACTAAAAGTGTAAATTTTCGCATTGTTGCTATTGGTATGCTGTAATAATAAAACGGCAACATACAATAGCAGGTCGGTTGTTGTCAATATTTGCTGAGCCCCTGACGTCTTTTAGTCAAAGTTTATTATAAAATCGGGTGCCGTATGCGGCGACATTTCGCGTTGCCAAGTATTATTTTCAATAGTTAATGTGTAGTTATAATATCCAATGTGTTTGCTATGTCTAATTAGATCGAATAACATACAAAATTTTTAATAATAAAATTTATATAATTGGTATATGCATGTTTTAAAGTACGATGCATTAGTAACGTAAGCTGCCACGTTTTTATACTTCATAGTTTTATACCTAAGCATTATTCTTAAAATATCGTTTTATCTGTCTGTAGTGATAACATTATATTGTAAAATTTCAAGACCAGCAAATTATACACAATGGTATCTATTTGGAGTTAGATAAAGAGACAAGTCTATATTTGATGATTGAATTTACGCAATGACGTGAATTAAAATAACTGAATCTATCTAGAATCACTGTATTTTTTGGTGTAGGTATAATTTTAGTATAAAATAATTAGTTGAATTAATATAAAATAAATTATTTATTGTATATTAAATAAATATATCATTATAAAAAAAAACAGCTTAATATCTTTATACTGTTAAAACGCACGCAAATACTCCGTTTTTGTAATAGCCACAGGTATTAATTTATATAAAAACTTATATAATAAAAAATTATATAAAAACGTTTAGTTATAAGGTTTTATCTATCTAAGCGGCCAGTTCCCTTTACAGTTTTTATATTTTATTTTGAATTTTTCGTTCTACCTGTTAACTTGTTTACTCAGAATTATTTATTTCGTCACTGTTAAGTCATCATTCACGGAATCGGTTCTATCCTGAATCACCGCGCAATCATATGCAAACAAACAAGATTGTATTATTATCTGACATCATCGTATTATTTCCTTTGTTATATTTATTGATTTATTACAATAAGTTTATTTAGTTAATAAACTCATTGCAGTAAATATGTATATATATTTAGAATTTCAAACTAAGATTACAGCATTATAGAAATGTAAAATATAATGTTTTTTAAAATATTTTTCATGCAATAATAAGTGTGATCAAAGAAGTTTAAAAGCAATTTGTATCTCCTGTAGACGTCTATTAATTTAATGACTACATATTAATTGGTCAATAAATATGAAATAATAGTTGTCTATTTGGATTTTCCCTAATGCATGAATCATGATAAAGGTATGGCATCAGCTAATCATGAGGTATTTTTGTACCAAATATAGACGCGTTAATTTACTTATTTGTCATTCATTTCGTAGACCTTGATCGAGGTTACAATAGCGGTGATTGAACTATGTGCGGAATACTCATAATTATAGAATAAACATTATTGTTTTAAGGCCCCATAACAATATATAAGACGGTGAAATCTTTTTATAACGTATGTTTTTACATTTGGAGTTAATTTATTATTAATTCCAAGAAAGTTAATGGTAAAGTTATAGTGTGATTTATCATACAAGTCAATAACTATTACATTTTATTTATTTAAAATCTAGTGGCATTTTTTAATAATCACTTTTGACACCAATGTTCAATTTCACTGTTTAAATTTGCTTATTGCCCGTAAATATTGACTGAATCGAATAAAATTATCAAAAGTTTTATTTTGGCATCATTGAATTTAACAATACCATTTGTAATATTTTTTTAAGTAATAACTATTTTGTTAATGACTCAAGTAGTGGACAATCCTATAACGCAATGTGATTAACGCTATAAGAGCCCTACACACGTGGTGCAACCACAAAATGTTCATCGCTGATGCTAGAAATATGTCTTATGGCGCTAAGCTATATTATTGATAAATTAGTAAAATATTTTAGTGCTATCAAATATGGTTGTATCATACAAATTTGCTAAAAAATAAAGCTAAAGATAATTTAGTAAGATAGTTATGAATAATATTTACGAATACCTCGTATATAACATAACAGTAAAGTTCTATTGCGTCGTCTATGTGCAGTCCGATCAAAACATCACTGCGCAAGAGGCCTTTCACCAGTGAAACTCAGTCATTTGACACAATTGTCAAATTAGGCACAGCTTCTCTTAAAACGAAAACAAACTTGTAAACAGCAATGCAACAACAGTATTCAGTGTCAGTATTTACGCTGCACTATAATGACGTATATCTGAAGATTTTCTAGTTTATAGTGTTTCTGTCAAAACAAAATCTAGTGGAATATTCAGGAGGTTTGAAGCCATACTTGTTTACAGTTTAAGGCCGTACTGAATTTTAAAGAAATAAATATAGTAAAAGTCTATTATTGTATATGTATGTATGTATGTTCATACATCTTAAAATGTATTAATATTGTTGCCTATCAAAATATTAATTTCATTTACAATTTGATTTTGTTAGACCAGTGCACCGCCATTTACTCTCTCTATTTAGCGTAACCGACCGGTAGAGAACATTAGGCATTGGTCTGCCCTGTAGATATACTTTAATGTGTGTAAATTTTTTAATAAATAAATGAAAATGTTTTAATTATTGTTGATGATAGGCGCTAACTATGGTGGAGTAGACTTTGGCGTATCTATGTTGTGTAGAAAGCAGGATTGTGAAGACAATTATTTGTAAATTTGTTTCCTCAAATGACTTTGCATTTTAAGCAAAATAAATTGTTAGTTTGCTTACGTTGTCGATAAATACGGTCACGTTTATCGTATACCTTTATGATTATTGGTCTTATCATAATATTTGTTATTGATTTGTATCGTATAATTCTAATACGTTTCAGGACATACTAACAAGAAAGAATCTAATCTAAGAAAAAAAATCTAATATATAGTTACAGTAATTTTAGTTATATTTTTCCTTTATGTAATTATTATAACTTGCGTATACTTATCTTTTTAATATATTTCAATTTGACCTTTCGATATAAAACTGTTTGGGCGTGAGTAAATTGTGAAGTCGTCATGTTATGTTTACAAACACGACCTTCTGTAATAGGTTATCGTAATCGTATACATTGAATATACCTATATTAACTGGATGAATGAATGACTTAGGAAAAGGTTTTTTGTTCGAATCGAGCTTGTTCCGTTGGCGCTTCGGCATTATTTACAGTGAACGGAATTCAAGGAATGAAACACTAGGCTTGTGTTCTATTCATAGCATATGATGAGATATGTGATGGATGGATGACGTGGCCTCGCCGACGCCGCGCAGTTGCAACTGCTGGCGCGGCGCCGCGAGTCGCCGGCGTCGCTTCGCCGCCGTCGTTTCAGTCACGAGGACGCATATACACGCAACACACAATACAACAGTATAATTCATTATCTATCTTTAACGCATATTACACATACATAACAGACCTCGCACGATGACGTTAGCATCGTGCAAATTCCCGCACTAATCATAGAATTCCATTTTAGTATGACTTTGTATAATCGTATCGGCTAATTCGCATTTCTTCCTCATATCCTTATACGATTTGTAATAAAATACCGATATGTATCGCAATGAATCGGCAGTTTTAATACATTGTTTATTATAACGCATTATTATTTTTTTATTTTAATTATATTTATTAACAAATATGTCTTATAAATATGATAACTTCAAATTATAACCTGTTATTATCTTAGTATTAGTCACATATATTATGCCTGAATATACGTACTCCAAAATTATATTCCTGATAGTTAATTTTTAACTTGTGTGTTATTGATACAATTTATAATAAATAAAATTGCGAAAAAAAAAACAATTATTGCTAAATTATTTCGATCAAAAATCTACAAAATAAATTATCATACAGTATTATATATATGCATATAGAATCAGACGGAATGACAACAATACTTTTTTAAATCTGTTGAAAACTGGTCGAATTTTATAGAGCCATCCACTCCTACGCTATTGCTATACGATGAAATATTACATATAGATTATTCACTACCAATAAGCATTCACTCTAATAGCTCACTGCAGTGAAGGCCTGCATAAACGAAAGACATTTTGTCGAATAAAATTAATATTTTCCTCTGTATACCTAAACGGGATAACGTGGACGTTTGTGTGTTGTTTTTGTGTTTTCTGTTATGGTAATCAAAATGTACGCCAAGGATCTTCTATCGTGTACACAGATCTTGACAGTAAGGGATTGTGTAAACGAGGGTCAATCCAATATATAACTTCCGCAGGTATCTTAGCATTTTATTAACGTCCCGGTAATAGAGATAGGTTACACCCCACATGCGAATGAGATAGCCTATTACCACACCAGGCAAGTGTCTTGGTATAAGTTTTTATTTCGATTTTCCTTTCTTTTTTATTGATGTATTGTAGTTTGTTCCCTTAGTCACCTCTTGTAATACTTGATGAAGAAAAGTTGTGGTTTAATCCATTGTAATCTTACACTACACAGAGTAAATGGAAGTAAAACATATGGAATTGCATTGCATAAACTATACGAGTTTATAAAATCCATAACAATGGGGAATTTTATTCTCCGTGGTCATAAACTCTTCGTCTGCGTAGGTCTTAACGCGCTCTAACAATTATTAGCACGTGACGTCCCATAGTCGATTGACGTATTTTTCGCCGGCTGCGCTGGCGTCAGTGCTATTCGTCATGAGAACATTATTTATAGGGTCAAGTTAAAAACAGAGCGTGTCGATGCGGCAGGACAAGACGATTTTGGTCGCAGAGCTAGAGGTGCCTGCGCCCACGCCTGTGAATCACGCGCTTGGCGCACGGCGGCGCAGCAGTAAACATTACCCTAATTACATTACACGCTAAAATGATGCTAAACAACCCATCGAACGCATAGTGTTGAAATCACAATTTTCATTGGTTTAAGAGACAGCAGATAATTCGCAACAGGTATTTATTCGCAGCTGAAAATCAGTCGAAACGACCCAAATTTTTGTATAAACATCCCCTTCTTTATTTTAAACAGAATAACGGACGTGGAACGGATGCTGTCAACTACATTTTTAAACAGAGATCTACGTATTCATATATATTGTTCTATCAGATAATATAAAATAATTATCAAGGTAACAGAGTAAATGTTTTATATATTGTTTGTGCATTTTGGTGGAATTATTTATATTTATAACTTAATTATTACTAGAGTTCCATTAATAGTATTTTGTATAATCTTCGCCTATAAGTAACATCATCTTCAGAAATAGTCTCTACTAAATCACACATAGGTATTTAGGTACCTTTCATTCTTTGTAAATATTATTATGTATTTTCATACAGAATGTTGTTATTGTATAGGTTCTATCACTTTAAATTGATTTCAATTATACAATAAGCTAGGAATATTCTACTAATAAATAGTATATGAGAGATTATAAAGATGATTGGTATTTAGAATTAGATGTTAGTCACTCAATTATTCTTAAATGGTTGAATCGATTTGAATGAAATTTAGTACGTTAATGATGATCCATTAACGTACTAAATTTCATTCAAATCCTTTTATTTTGATTTACATTACCGCAAACCGCGGGTTACAACTAGTAATATAATATATAAGTAGTAATATAATATATATATATATATATATATATATATATATATTCTTTATCGATAATGTTGATATGAGTATCTTACCTATTGATGTTTTAACGACTTTTACAATCGTCATAAAATTTGGTAAAACATGGGCTTGGTGTAGAGAAGGACATAAGCTATTTTATCCTGGTCAAACTGCCGAAGGCGTGGATTAAATTTGTCATATTCAGTTGTAAGATTCTGATATGCCACTAAAAATCTTTTCGCATTTAAAATGTTACCTCATACTCTTAGTAATCTATTGGAGCCGGTTAAAAAGTCTAGTCTTATTAGGATGATTGGCTAAAATTATGATAGATGTTGACAATAATATTTAGTAGACCTTTAAATGAATGGGATTTAAGAGTGTACAAATGAAATTACACACGATAAATAGTAGTGATATAGTACATACATACATACATATCTGTCACGCCTGTTTCCCATTAGGGTAGGCAGAAACAATGGAACGCCAAGTGCTTCGATTCAAAGAAACCTCATTCGCTTCTTGCACATTCATCAATCTTTTCATACACGCTAGTGATATAGTCTCTAATATTAACCGGTTTATTCATTATTTTCACTTTTTTTTGCTCTTTTATTTGTCCCTTTAAGGTGAGATATAACAGTAAAATTATAGGATACAAAGATACAAGTAACATCTTAGTCCTAAATAATCGCATTATGGGTACCATGGGTATTATAATGTATTCAATGATTTTGATGTCTATGGACTAAAACAGATTTTTTTATCATAAATTATATTATTCTTTCATAGTAGAGTGTGTAACGTAAGCGTACTTTATTACAGTGACGTTACTGATAATTCATTTAGTGTATTAATTGGTAAAAAACTTTTTTTTACAAATTATCACACTACGACTAAATGACTGGATTGAACACGTAATAGTGGTACAATATCGAGATATCTTGAATTTATATTACAATATTATTTTATGAACAGTAAACTTCCAATAAATAGATATTACCTAATATATGTGTTTCGATTGGTACAAAGTGATGTTCACATGTCTATCTATATAGATAACGATACTACTTTCCATCAGGTTGGCTGTTAGTTTGCCATGTAGCTTAAATTAAGTGCAATAAATAATAACAGTAATTTATTTCTCGCACAAACTTATAATTAAATAGGTTAAAATGAAAAAAAGTAACAGACGAATTGTGAGAACTGGAGTCGAACTTGGCTATAAAGCCTATATTCCTCAAATATAATCGGGTAAAATTATTTTATTTAATAGGTAAATGATGAAAGAAGGAGAGATAATGAAAATATGCATATTTTACCGTATATAATTTATATTACTACTTTGAAAATAGTAAGTATATACAGTCGGCGGACATAACACCATATGGCGTTCTTTATTAGTCAACCAATGGTAAGTCATACATAAAGTATGTTTTGTATGTTATGTAGGTGCGTAGTACTTATTTAACATTTCTAATGAACCAAAGTGCGTCAATGAAACAACTGATTACGTTGTCTTGTCGCACAGTAAGTGGAAATGTTGCCCTAATTGATTCTAGATTAAACCACTATATGGTCAACGATGGCTCAATCCTGATGTAATTCAAGTATTCTTGCCTTTTTTTACAACACGGAGCAAACGAGCATGCGACTCACCTGATGGTAAGTGACTACCGCCGCACATGATCACTCACAACACCAACGGAATTACAGGTGTACTGCCGGCCTTTTAAAAAGGAATATGCTTTTTTCTTGAAGGTTATGATGTCGTATCGGTTCGGAAATACTGCTGCTGGAAAGTAAAAAAAACTGTAGCAAATTCTAGTTTTCTTAGCGACAATTAGAAATGTTAACAAAATGACTGATGGTAATCATTCAACTTATATTGATATTTTATACAGGAAATTTCTTATTTATTCTAACGACGATTTTTTTTAAGTTCATATAGAATTTGTCAATGAAATCTCATCCGTACTATAGGTAGGTACTGTAAGTAAGTACCTACCTATAGTACGGATTATTATAAACACTCGTATTTCTCATAAATATCAGTACTAATTAATAATTTAAGAGTATATTTCGCAAAAAAAGAGATTTCAATAGAGATAAAATTAGTTTGGAAGTGAATACCATCTGATTGAATCCCAATTGATAAGTATGATTTTGTGTAAACTTATATTTTACTGGTACATGCGTACTTGTATATTTAGATTTATTTCATCTAATTTTTATGGACAAAATAGTAGCAAGAGCGTTCTCCTTCGTCTCTTTGTATAGTCTTTAACTGGTGGAATTCGCGAAATTGTATTGTATACATTTGTTACATTTGTATTGTATATATTAGTTTAAAGATAAGTAGAGCGATTGATCTCTTCGTAACTAAAGTTCGTTGACAATCTCACTAAAACGATTCGTCTTTCTTATGGTTATAACAGAAAGTATCGCAATACTCCTGCATATTTCGGTGCAAACATCATGGTGAGCCCTGAAGGAAGTAAGAAACAATAACTTATATTATAAATGTGAAAGTTTGTTTGTTTCTTATTAGATCCTTATTATTAATAGCTCTGCCAATCGTCATGAAATTTAGTCTACGTAATAATCATATCCATATACGAGTCCCAAATAGCCAGTGTCTTCTATCCCAATGTAGAGAACATATGCTCTTTGTGCATATAACAACAAAATTAACAATACGAGCAATAGCTTTGAACTAATTTTAGTAATATATAAGGGGGTATTTTGAATTTACAGGCCACTTTATAACTAATTTCAAAGTAATTCTATGCGAACAAAGGAATCCGCTATTTGTATAATTCATCTGTTTGTAACATGTGTTTATATTTTTTAGATGTCGTTTGCTTATAACCTGCGTAACACTATAGTCACTGAACTATACCTATGAAGATATAGAGTTCTAAAAATGAGCATATATTTTCGCCAATTCTTTCGATTTTGATAATTCTTTTGACAATTAACAAATAAATAAATAATATTAATTTTGTCCTAGTTTAAATTATCTTAGAATTATGTTCGTACATACTTAAAAACAACAAGATTTTAGTTACAGAACTAATGGTAATTAGTTGATGGAGGTTAGTTTATTGAGCAGCAAGTTGATGAATACAACTACGATAGCTATAAGTAATCTGAAATAATTCCAAAGACAAATTGGTCCTAAGAATTATAAGCAGCTGGTATGTTTGTATAGTCAGTCATTGCTAGCGCGTCATAGTCATAGTTAGGCGGTCATTCTCGAATTGTTCGTTTACTACTGAGGTTTATTCCTGGGTTCTCTTGTCTTGTTTGTTTGCGTTTATTTCTGCGTACGCGTCGGATGTCGAGTCCGCATTTAGCCGCAACATGAGCTGCGGCCGTGCAGTCGATACCGCGATGCATCGCGCCAAACTAATGTCTTTGGCGCCGACAATAGGACCCGGCGCGACGGCGTTATTGTCGTCTCATGTTAAAAAAAGATCACTTGTCGTTTGCTATATTACATGCAAAAATTGGTCATTTCCTACATCATGAATTGCAATGAAGTTAATAACGGCACTGAATGTAAATTTTACTTGAATATGTAGCTTTCTAATTGGGTAAAAAATGATATATTAGAATATATCAAAGGCAAGAAAAAAATTATAGCATTGTAGTATACATAATATGTCTAGTGGTAATTAATACTAAACAGTTAGTCACTGCCTGTTTACGTCTGTTTGTTTAGTGGAAATCTCTTACATATTTCAGTATAAAAATCATGGTGGGCCCCCAAAGAAGCAGTCTTTATTTATACTATAATCTGGTTGTAAACCGCGGCTTTGTCTGCGTATATGAAAATAACAAAAATATCTTGTGTATTAATATAAAATATTTCATTCAAAACCATCCAGCTGTTTAAAAGCGCGATTAAGTAATAAACATTCAAGTATCTTTACAAACTTCTTTCACATGTATAATATTAATAAAAGTCGGACTTATGTAAAAATACACGTAACAAGATAGGCGTTCTTTGAAGCTAATGGAAAATTATAGATTTTGCAAAGGAAATTCTGGAATGCTTTGCCCTAGTATCAGGTTGCTGCGTCGGCGTGTGTCAGGGGCGGGCGGCGGCTATGGCGGCGGGCCGGAGCGGACTCGGCTCAATGAAAATATAAATAAACACAAACACATAGACACGCCCTGTTGATCTGTTTTCCATTCCAAGAACTGAGAATAACTGGGTATAGTCGTGGCCGCCAGTTGATTTGTTATATTTTGTTGACAGCTTTCAAAAATATATTAATCTACGCTTACTAGTATTTAGATACACTCGTATCATAATAAGAGCACAAAGAAACCAAAACTTCATACGTGAAGTGTTTTTGGAAATAATATTACTTAAGCGATATTGTTATTTATAACAAAATAGTCTAAAATGTCCAGGTATTATGTTAAATATTAATTTTCCTAAATGTAAAAGCGTAAATTCATAATAAAAACCAAGGTTTATGTAATTAAAATAATATTATAGGAAAATCGTTGATTAATTTTTTTTTATACAACTTAGAATGGCAAACAAGCTGACGGCCCATCTGATGGAAAGTGGTAACCGTCGCCTATAGACATGAGCAGTACCATGGATATAACAGAGTATACTGTTTCGCCCATGCGTTGCCACTCCTGAGGACTTAGGTGTTATTCCTCTGTACCCAGTAAATTCACGCCACATCCCACACTTCAAACCGAAACACCCTTCAAGCCATGCATGGTTGAAACACGAATGGGACAAAGGTACCCAAGCAATCGACTTTTGTACAAAGTCTCCCTCTGGTATAATATAATTTTCATACATATAGTATCTAGTTACTGATTTTGGGTGACGGTCACTAAGATAATAAATAGTATTAATCTACAGTGTTGCGTAAAGTTTACAGAAACATTTCATCATCAACGTCTATAATTTGTAAGGATTCGTGTTAACCGACATATAATATTATGTGAAATACAATCTCCTTACCGCAGAAGGTAGTGGGTGGGTATAAAGTATAACACATTACCCTGTTTCATTCTTGACACCATTTTACGTTGATGGCATATAAATAACATTGAAATTGATATTATATGCATAAATCGACAAGGAAGTGCCAATATCTCCTGACTGACAATACCCAGATTCTACAGATATTATATAAAATAAGAGATATTTTCATACAGTTATTACGATATATTATCTGAAAATGGATATAAGTTTATTTTTTATTTGTATCTGTCTCTTATTCAAAATTACTTTTCGGATATTTTACTAAAATGGAAAATTTACTTTTATATATATATATATATATATATATATATATATATATATATATATATATATATATATATATATATATATATATATATAATATAGAAATTTGGCAAACTACAGGCTTTGAAGCCTGTAGTTTGTTAGTGTGTTATCAGACGCTCGTATAATCAAATTTACATAAATAATTATATGTAAATCTGATGATCCTATAACAATATGGTAATCGCACCATTACACTTCTACCTGTAAAGTTACTCTTTAAATAAATTCCGATAAATCGATATGGCAACACTAGCGACATAATAGTTCCATATTGTTCTGATATTGCAATTCCATATTGCAAACTGATCTCAATTCTAACCTAATTCCTAGTCGTTGAGTGCAGTACAAAATTGTCATTGGCAATAGATCGGATTGATATCGATGTTAGATTCAAGAGTAAACCTGTTGGATAATTTGCAAAATACCAAATTTCTCGATAACTCATGTAGAGGTTACAAAATTAGTTTATATTTGTAGCCTAATTAATTAATTGGCCTGCAAATATAGAAAATATACTACAAACAAAAATAATAGCCAGGATCTCATATGGTAGAGGACGTGGTGGGCACAGGAACTCAATTTTGTTAAGGCGTAAGCAAACGAGCTTGGACTCGTTCAATAGGTCACCTTTATGGATGCGAGCACTGCAAGTTAATAAACATACAAATTATTGTTGCACCGCGGGCCGCCGGGCCGCGTCGCGTCCGGCCACCCCGGTGGCGACGTCCCCGGCGCGCGACCGCGGCGCCGGGTTCAAAGTACGCATACGACGCGCGCGTTCTGAAACAATAGGGCCGACATGTCCGTTATGTCATGTAGTTCAAATGAGATATATCTGGACAGTGAATTTAACGTTAATAAAATTTTCCCATTTACATGTATTTCGATACATGGTGTTTGCTTGACTGTTACGTTCACTACAACATTTGCACAAAATATTTCTGACTACTCAGTTTAAGATTACATTTCAAAATCTAATGTTTTAGTACATATTTGTTTGTAACTAAGTGGCGGTAGCAAACGACGCAACATCTGATGACTAACGGATGTCTAATGACAATGATGGTCACCTCACCACTTGCTGACCCTGAAGAAATCATAATACAAACACAAGATCAACAATACGCTAAATATATACAATTTATTATGGAAATTTACATTGTTAGATTTCATACAAATCCATTTAACAATTTATACATTATAGCACGCAATGTCGCATTTGTGATTATTATAGAATCATATTTGTGCCTTTAATATATAAAAAAATTCAATATCTAGCCATAAACACTGTCATTTTATAAAAAGTTGCACATTACCTAGTTTTTGCCTACGACTTTGTCTATATAATCTGGATTTATAGAATGACCAATGATAAATGTAATATATGATTTAAGTTTTCATCCGCCAGTAGAAAACTTATAATCAGGTACAATAAAAATATTTAATTATTTTTTAAAATTAACATATAATTGCAACGTTGCCATCCTTTGGTAACCAAAAGTTATAAAAGCTCTGAATAAGATTAGTCAATTCCCAGATCTGATAAGTAGTCTTCTTACAAATCATTTTTACATACAACACGATTTCGTACACGATCTGTAGAACCTAATTAATAAACATCTTGATCAGTTAAGTTTATATGAAGATATATTGACTTATGACACCAACTTTAGACAGATCTCTATATAAGACAGAGACAAGCTGGCGTCGAAAAAGCTCGAGGTGCTCAATAGAACGAAAGCTCGAGACAAAAACTGTGATTGTATAAGTCGTTAATCTGGCTTCTCGTGGAGCACTACTCTCATCTGTGGACCGGAGCACCTGGATCCCAGCTTGCTCCTCTTAACTCAGTTCAAAAACGGGCTATGAAAATTGCCGATGATCCTAATCTCACAAGCGGTATCGAGTCCTTAGGAGTTGTTTGAAATGACTTTTGCTGCTATTTGTTTTTTGGCATATAATTACATGATAATGTATATAAATTTATAAATAACGAATTATTGTCTCTTTGTCAGAATAGTGTATTTATTTTTATGAAAAAAGTTTTATAAAAATTAATACAATTATTACATAAAATTATTACAAACCAAAGCTAGATTACATATACTTTATGTGTCTTTACACATATAAAGTATATGTAAACTAGCCTTGGTTTATATATATAGAAAATCTAGATCTACTTTCAATAATAAAGATTACTATAATTTATGTTCAAAAAGGGTAAAATTGCAATTCAATGTTTGGATAAGGTCATTGAATTTAAAGAATTATATTATTGTAAAACATAGTTTGGTACTTTTCGTATTAGATAGATAGCTGCTTATATCAGTGGACTAAACCTTTATAGGGAGAGCTATTCATAAACAGGTAATTTTACACATTTTTTTTTGTTAGTACCTTAACGAAATTTAGACAGTAGGTCCGGTAAACAGCTGGTATAAAATACATGCCTTATAATATATTTGAAAGAATATGTCAATTCATGTAGGTATCTATTAAAGTTACTTGATAAAACCAAGTTGCCATTGATGTAGAATTCGTTTCATGTAGTAGTAGGTATTTAAAGTATTTGACATTTTGCGAACCGGAATTAGATCAGACAAAGCTCATTTTTTTTGCGTTTAAAGTCGATTATAAATTTTATAGTCCCAGAACCTGTATTTGTTACATAATATATAATGATCATTAATATTATAATTATTACGTTCTATATAGGTTTGTGACACAGTGGCAGTGGATGTTATGTTTTTAATTACTATCAGTACTTTATCATGTGTATCATAAACAAAAATTACGATTTACAATTCTTTATCAATAAACAAACGTTGTTTAATTAGTTTTATGTAGCGTGAAACGTGCGTTTGGACTTAGTTGAACGATCTTAGAACTTCCACATGCTACTACGCTCCTGTTTGTTTTCACGCTGATAATGGAAAGTTTCATTGCTTTTCGTGATCACTAATATTATTTCTTGTTGCTGATAACGGGTTAATGCAGTTGAATATTATACACGTGCTGGGTTGTATTGTAACATACTAAGCACGTGTATCATACAAATCACACAATATTTTTCTACTTCTGTAGTAAGTTAGTAACAGCTGCAGTTATGCAATCAAGTAGAGATTGAGTTTGTCGGCTCTACAACTGTGAATAATCGTTAAAAAGTGCGCGTAAGCAAGTCATCTATGAGCGTAACTTACACTCTTATCGGATTTACACGTGCCAGCAATTTACGCTACACTAACATTGTATTATATATTCTCACATTCCCAGGTGGTTCTTTTGTCCATAAATTGTCTCAATTGTACAAATCTTCATATGCAATGGTATAATAATTTTTGTTTAGCAAGTCATTCACATAAAGAATTAATATTGATTTATTCTTCAAATATGTGGGCCGATTATTGAAAATCAGTTATTAGGTGCTATTGTGTTATGGGTTTGTGAGTAATGGAAGCCCGTATGTGTCCATTCGGCGGGTGCAGAGAGCGTATCTATAATTTAATAATTTGGCCCTGTTATCTATATCACAGTGCTGACGTAGAAAATACGTTTTCGAATCGTAGCGTGGCGTAGAAACCCGTTTGAAAACAATATTTATTTGGATGTCCAGTGAAAGTAACGGGTTAAGCTTACGTTTTGGTGTATATGAATGTAGATGACGACTTTTAACATAAGTTGAGTGTGCCAGATTGTAGCGCTCGAGGTGGGTTCACCTATCCAAGGTGAGCAGACGGCGAGGCGTCGAGACGCACAACGACCTCTATTCCCGGCTTACTGGTTTTCTAAATTAAATCATGTATTTTATAGTCACGATTGAAATTCTATAATGTCTAAAATATACAATTAAGACCAGTAATTTATAAAATAACTGGCTGTGCCCGCGACTTTGTCCACATGTCATTATTGTCTGGTTGGTGTTACGCAATCGGGATATTACGGGTTGAAATTAGCTTATATCCTTTTTTATACTAAATATTATATGTATGGCACATTCCAAGACGATTTGTCGTATCATTAAGGTGTCAAGAGCTAACAAACAAACTCACTTTCACATTTCTATTATTTTTATGTTTATAATAACTGTTAGAGAAATTTATATTTAGATAATTTTATACATATTAAGTAGCTACTTCTCTTAATATAGAAAATTAGTTTTACCGCCGAGTTACGGATGTGTGCCGATGTGAAGCCTCCTTATTTATAATCTAAGGAATCCGTGTTTAAAATCTGGAACTAGCACTTTTAACTGTACATTTGTGTCTATTAGTTTCTCTTTTTAAATTTGTGTAAGTACTCATAATTTTTTTAAATAAGTATAAAAAATTCTGAGTCATATTGTAACAAAAGATAGTATAATTAAATAAATAGTTAAGTTTTCTCTTAATTGCCACTTTCCACGACATCTTGAAATTTAATAATTTCATATATTTCCATTTTTATCTGTATCACACACTTAATAATATTGCATTTCGTGTTTTTGGATCGTTATAAATCTTATTAGATTTCGCGAGGCTCATATCAAGATCTAATAAACAACGGTCCGCCAAGGCCAAATTAAACGGATGTCACGCCGACATGGGGCGATATAATTGCTTCATACTTTGAATTTTATTGCTTTATTACTCTATTATACACCCCGTTAATATTTTTGTTAACGTTTATGGTTGGTACATAATGTGCCAGTATTTGTGAGTTTATTTCTACACGTTGCCCTTACTTTTTTATTTTCTATAATAGATAAACTTTTTTATTCATAAAAACCTCAGACCTCTCATAAAACTAGCTATTGAACTGTTTCGTTTCTTGCTCTTTTATTAAATTCTCAATTTAAAAAAAAGTGATAAAACAGTATAATAATTAAAATAGGTTTGTAGAAAGCTTTATTTTTTTATGAATAAGGTGGAAAGACTAGAAACAATTAGAATGGCATTTGGAAATACATATACTCCTTAATACTCATAATATTTTTATATTCTCATTTATTATTATTTTGTTTGTTCCAGGTAAAATATCTATGCAATGCAATGCAATCCTTATCCTAGATTGTAAATTTGGGATATCTACCTCCTATCAAGGTGAACTTAGACTAAAAGCTTACAAAAAAAAACCGGGGACTGCAGTATAGAACCAGGTAAGTAGATTAGGCTACTAAAAACAATGTAAAAACGTATAAAATTGTTAGCGAATACTATAAAACTATGACAGAACACTCTTAAAATACTGTTAAAATACATTTAACATACAATATTTATATTGAATAAATTATGAACTGTATAAATATCTAATATTAACAAAAGTATTTATATTTTGAATGTGAAATTGAGTTTGTTTGTTTTTTTTGGCACCTAAATTTGACCAGTTGTAATGAAATTTGTCATACACATAGTATTATAGGATTGACAAAGTCTAATATCGAGTTTTAAAAAAATTAAATAAACATTACCGGACATTTTATCCACTCTATATTCTAGTAGGTAACAAAACAATGTTTATACGGGTATCTATAAAGTCATCAAAAAAGTTAGATACCTAAATCTTTTGAATTAAATAAAACATTAATCAAGTTAGTCTCAAGTCTGGACTGAGATTGTGAACAGATGGGCTGTGTCAGACGGTCGCGGCGCGTCACGTCTGGGGCGCCGCGAGGGGAAAAGGGCAAAATTAGTTAGGGATCTACACGCTCGCTGAACCCTAAGGGCGGCTCTCGGGATGTCTCGGGTGAATGTACGAAGCCAAACTCTCCCCACAATACAAATGCGTAGTTTCAAGTTTGTATG